GAATTCTCTGCATTTGCCAGGCATGGAGACGGGCCAAGGTGCTTAAAAAATGATTCCCACTCTAATAAACTACAAATATAGGGGCACCTACCAACCAGTCAGGTATCAGAGCACCTAACTGGTCAACAGGAGCTGCTTAGATCTAGTCAGAGTAAACTGCATTCCTTTTTTCCCTCACATGCACAGAGTGAGGAAAGAAGACTGTCATGCCTGTACTCAAAAAGCCAAAATGCTGGAAAATTTTCAAAGAGAAAGAATTTAAAGATTCATAAGAGAACAGCTATTAAAATCTCCACTGTGACCCTCTCTAAACTATCCCCATTTAAGTGGAGAGGCAAATTAGGCCCACAGGCACTTGTATTTAGGATGGGCTGAAAGAAGAGCCCACATGTGAACACTTAAGGTCTCTGACATGACAATCCATAAATCATTTCAGGGAAAGCCTGTCACCTGCATCTTCTGCTCTGCCTTTTAAATGGATGGGACCCCAACACCCCATTCTCCTTAGAGGAAAAAGTAGGGGTGGGAGATACACTGAGAACAAAGAATGATGACTTTCTCTTCCCCCTACCAAGGAAAGATGTAGTAACAATAACTGCATTGAAATCCTCACTCACTTTAAAATACCAAACTGCAAACAGGTAGATGGAATGATAATGTTTGAGAGGCCGTAAACCTACACAAAGATGTATCTATTAAGAGAACATGGAAATGAATCTATTAAAGAAAGGCTAAGTGATTGCATTCACATGTGCTTTCATTTTTAAAGCTACACTTATTTAGTGGTTGCATCTTTTAAAGAATTTTCTGAATAGCAGAAGTTCTACTTTTTTGTCCATCTACCAAGACATCCTTTCAAATAAAGGAATAGATTATCTAGTCATTGAAGAACACACACACACAAATCATATACCAAAATAAGATAAAGCCAGCTATTTTATCCTTTCAACATGGTTACCAAAGCTCCATTGTGTCTACAAATTTCCCAGGGTGGTGCTGTTGCCAAGAAATTCTAATTCATGACAAGGTTCTCCGCAAATTGGGATAGGGGCAAACCTGCAGAGGGACAGACCCTACAGTTTGCTTTGTCTTTCTGGCTGAGACAGCACCTGGCTGCTCAGGCCTGTGGAAGGCAGAGAAACAGGATCATACAGAAGAGTAAGCCATGTGGCTGACTGACCCAACCTTATCCCACCATGAGATGAGGTGTTCTTAGAAGGCAATGATTTCTGTGGGTTTTCCCCTAGAGATGCCTCTTAGGACCCTCACAAAAAGTGCTTTAGGATGCCTGAAACCAGAATGAAATTGCAGTGTTATGGGGACACTTTAGTCTTTACAGTAGCCAAGTATGCCATTAGTTTAAAACAATGGGGCATGGAGGAGGGAGGAATGTTCTATGATTTATTTATTTGTTTCCAGTAGCAGTGGAAAATTTTCTCCAAGCAAAATGGAGGCCTGAAACTGACCCCATCTGCCAATTATGAATCAGCATTAGCAATGAGCACAATTCCATAAGAGTTCTCAAGTAAACATGCCAAGCTCCTCAATGACATGAAGCAAAGTGTATTACAAATAAGACTTAAGAGCATCATTATTTGACCTGTACTCACGAAATGCCAGGCTAGGTATAATAGATGTACAAAACCTCTGAAGGCTTTTTTCCCCAGTAACTAAGAGTATCATATCAAATTGTTTTTGTTTTCCAAGTCAGGGGTGTATCCAAGCAGTCATAAGTTCTATCGGCAACAAAAGTCATGAATGGGTCTCTTCTTAAGCTATCATCAAATAGTACCCTACAATCTTCTCCAGCTTCTGTTCTACGCTGGCCTTTTTTCTACTTTGCTCAGACAGCTCTTGGAAAATTTCCTGCAAGTTTCCAAAGATCTCAAGGCTAGTAGCCTTAAGAGTTGTGTCAGCTGAATTCCATAAAATAATACACCACATAAGCACAGTGTAATTTAGAGTTATATGACAGGCAGAGACAATATTACCGGGGCCAAGTGCTTAAGTATGCAGTCAGAGTCCAGGAACGGAGAGCTGTTAATGTGGGATGTCCATTTGGACTTTAAAATTGTAACAGCAATGATCTGGGGAGTTGGAGCTACATCACTGACTGAAAATCCAATGTCAAAATGATCTCTATGACAGGAGGTAGCCCTCTCACAATCAGTGGTTCTGTTGTAAGCTCACTGACACAGAAAATCATCCCATATCATAAGTTTGAACTAGAATCCCCAAATAGCATATCCTTAATTTTCAAATGTACAAATGTTCTTGGGTTTAGCACACAAGCTACTCATTCTCTGGAAAATCAGATGATTGGAATCTCATTATTTCACCCTTCTCCCTGAGGCCAGGTATATTGTTCACTTTGACAAGATCTAATAATTACTCCTCATTTGACCTCTAAAATCAGATAACCCTGCAGCATCAGACAACTTTCTCCTGCCTGGGTTTCTTTGTAGCAATATTCTTGAGCTGGTTTGAGCAAAGCAGTCTCAAAATTTCACCGTCAATGGTTGATTTGGAACCGATAGTTGTACAGAACCACCATTACCCCTTCAACTCAGAAGTAGCAAAAGGGGTTGGCTGTGGGAATAAGGAAGAGATATGGGCTAGAGGTTTTGGCATCAGCACAAACTTAGGGTCCTGGCTACCTTTAAAGAGCAGTTGTGACTACAGAGCCAACAGCAGAAAGCTCCTTGGAGTGACATGTTTTGTAAGTGCTTGCCACAAGTTTTATTTCCTATGGATCATGAGTGTGCAGCTCTGAAATAGCCTGGTAAAGGGTTTTAAGGTGAGGGTGTTGGCACTTACAGAGGATTAAGGCAAAAAGTAAGGAAGAGGTTAAGAGGAGACTAATTCCTCTGCCTGCAGATAGAAAGTAAGCTATCGGTTCCTTCAGTGGGCAGGAGGGGGAGGGGGAGGAGGAGGGAAGAAGGAAGAGCAGAGCTGGCTTCCAGGGAAACAAAAGATCTAATGCATCCCCTAATTGTCAAACCACTGATGTGCCTTCACAGACCTAGAGTTTCTCCTGGATGGGCTAGCCATATCTAGCAAGGCAGGTTTCCTCTGGAGAGAGGCCTTCCCGCAAAGCAGGCTTTACTACTGTGAAAACTTGAACCAAAACAAAGTTGTGTGATTCATCAAGAGGGAACGCTGTAACAAATAAAGCCAACTTTCTCCTCTCCAACACTGCTGAACAGTTAGTCACAAACAAGAGCTGCCTCGAGCAGGCTGACTAAATCAACAGATTCTCTTCCCTAACCTGTCTAGACAGTTGTTAATATGCAACTGATTCAACACCAATCAGCTGACAGTGCAAAAAACGAAAGCTCTTTAGAAAATGAAATTCTGGCAACATTTTGGTTCACACAAAATAAAAGGAAGGTAATAGACCCAGTGAGGCCCTTCATGAGACAAACATGTTACAGATGGGAGAGAGGAGGTATTGAAGAAATGCTGTATGCAAAAAAAAAAAAAAAATGCGCTTAGAGAGTCAAGTGTCAGAAGTATCCACCAACATCTTCCGACAGGAATGCTTGTGCGAACACACAGGCTCAAGAGGCCAGTACCTGCAGGAAAACTAGCAGCTTCTGTTGGGAAGAACAACTAATAACAATGGTGATCAGCTTCACCATGGGGCTCCTTATATCAAAAGTCAAACCTCTCCCACTAGAGCTGCAACTGTTACATCCCAGCCTCTAGCTGGCAAATCCTGCTTCAGATCCTGGCTGAGGAAATTCAGCCGTTCATTAGCCTTAACAAGCCGCCGTCACTGAGCGAGCAGAGAAGTTATGAGGGCAGCTGCTCACTGCGCCTGTCCCCCAGCCCTCCCCAAGGGCAAGCATGTTTCTTCAGGATGGACTGCACAAGTTCACACTTCCGATGTGCAAATCTAGAATGTCTTCTTGGACTTTCCATGGTGCACACCATGGAGTTTTTAAAGACCCATGTCCCCCGCCCCCACCCACCACCATCTTCCCCGCAGAATGTCCCCCCCATCGCTGCTTAAAAAAAAAAAATACTGTTCCCACAGCAGACCCAGCACTTTCCACTGACCAGTATTTTCTTTATTCCACTTCACAAAGCCCAGTGAACTTGTCCCCCGCCCCTCTGCATCCTCCTCCGGACGCCTACCCAACTTGGCAAGGCAGCCTTTAGCATCCTAGGAGTTTCTTAACTAGTCCTCCGCGACAAAGTCAGAGGATGGAAGCACGTATCACCCTTTGTCTGAGGTTGTGCTAACTGAAGAGGGGCCCCAGAAAAAAAAGAGGGAGAGAGAGATAAAGAGGAGAGAGTGAGAAAGAAACAAGGACACACAGAGAGGGTGTTTTCCTTCTGGAGGCATTCCACTGGGGAAACCTACAATGCTTTGTCAGACTAAGATAGATACATCTTCCTGGCCCCCTTGTATGTAGATAGATATCCTTGAGTAGCTTTTGTCATGGGTTCTTTTCTCTTTCCCCACCTCTGATCTCAAAAATCAAGCTCCTATTCTTTACTGACACTCGTTAATTACTGGGAAAACACTTCGCTTTGCTCCAGCCCCCCCATCCGCTGGTCCTCAGCACCAGTTGAAACAGATGAACCTTATTTAAGGTACTAGGTTCGTAGAGCCTGTGCGTGTAGGGGATGAGGTATCCTAAAGACCCAAACCGTCTTCCTATAGGGCTCCACCGAGCCCTAGAAGTTGGGCATGTTTCTGCTGGCGGCCAGTGAGCGGAAAACGTGTGCGCAAGGATGTATGTTGGTGACTGAGACGCAGGCGGTTCAGACCTGGCTGCTCAGCAAGGGAAGACTAAGGGGTTAGGGGAGGGTGGAGAGGTAAGCGCCTATGACTGTATCAGAAAACATTTTAAGCAACATAGAGCCAAAAAAGGAAAACATAAATAAATAAAAACAAACAAAAAATTTCAACCCAAAACCCACACCAATGCAGCCCCTGCGTCTCCGCCGCCGCCACCACACGATTTACACAAGTAATTTAAATCATTCACCTGCTGCCAGGTCTCCTCCAGGGACGGCAAAGCTGAGAAGTAGCCGGTGTCGTGGACAAGTTGTAGCTCCTGGAATATACTATAACTAGCCAACACGTCCATGCTGCTGCGGCCGGGCAACGCGGGACGACAAACCCTCCCCCGAGCACAGTGGGGTCTGTTTGTCTGTCAGTCTGTCTGGCTTACCCCCCAAGAAGGCAGACATCCAGTGGCCCTTTTGTTTTGTTTTGTTTCAGTCAACTAAAAAGGAAAAAAAAAAAAAAAATCAATGCAGGAGCGAGGGCGCGAGGTGCGAGAGGAGCGAGTGAGTGGGGTGGATGGAGAGGCATCCAGCGTGTACAAAGCAGCTGACTGCCAGGAAGAGGGGACTTCACGGGAGTCACAATTCCCTTCCAGCTCTAATCACTCCAGCTCGTGGATCAGGAAGGGGACGCAAGCTCACTGACACGAAGCTGCCATCTATTTCTGCAGCGCTGTTCGCTCCTAATGCAATCTTTGCTCTTTATTTTGGGAGGTTGCATTTTTTTTTTCTCGCGATCGCTTCTCTCCCCCACCCCTTTACTTCCCTCCCCACCCCCACCCCATCCTCGCTAGTTTGTAGTCCCCCCCTCCCCTTTTCTCCTCCTCCTGCTCTTCCCCCTCCCCAAACTCCCTCCCTCCGCCCGGCTCTCCGCGCAGCCGTGGGATCTCGGAGGAGGGCGCCCATTAGGCTGCATGTGACCATGTAAGGTAAACAGGGGGCTCATGAAGTCACTGAGGACCAATGGGAAGCTCAGAGCTGGCTCGAGGGCGGGGTCTGGCCTCAGCGGCGTGCACGGATTGGCCCTCTGCGGATCTCCCTGCTGCCATACAAGGCGGCGCGAGGCAAGCTATTTTTAGAGGGCTATATAAAGGGGCTGAGGCGGCCGCCCGGCGGTCGGGGAGCGCGAGCGCTGGGGCGGGCCGGATGACACTTGCGCTGGCTCCCGGGACGCTCGGACTCGGGCTGCGCGCCGGCCTCCGACCCTTGCTCTGCTGTCTGGCCGAGCCCCGTCTGGGGGAGCCGGAGCTGCGCCGAGGGGAAGGGCCGCGTGTGGCTGTGGTGGCGCGGACGCAGCTGGGCCGGAGGTGACGGTCCGGAGAGCTGAGGCGGGACACCTCCTGGAGGAGGCATGGGAGGGACGCTGTGGAGAGGACACCTCGCGCTCGGCCTCCCGCCTCGGTCCCGAGTCGCTAGGCAGAGGCCACGCTGAGGAGGGCGTCACCTACCAAAAAATAAAGGTCCCCGAAGTCCCCTAGCAAGCCCCCCATGGGCCGTCTAGGCAGAGGCGAAGCGCGTTAGACCCAGCAACTCACAATAGCGGAGAACAAAAGAGCGCGCGTGCCCGGCTGCCCCGCCCCCGGCCTCCCCAGGCCCCGCCCCCGCGCGCCTCCGACGCCGTGCGTGCGCCCGTGCTTCCTCGTGACCCCGCACCAGGGTCGGCTGGAGTCGGTCGATCTGAGTAGACTGTGTGCGACTTGTCCTCCGCTGTGCCCTAAAGAGAATGGGGGCGGGGGAGCCCTGGGGCTGCGGCTCACCAGATGGCTCGGGGCGAGAGCAGAGAAGGCCCAGTTGTTTCCTAGAGCTGGGTTGGAGGCGAAGGTGCTGTTGTCTCTCAGTTGGGACCCTGCACCCTGCACGTTTAGATGGGCCAATTGTTTGTTTAACCTTAAATGGTTACTGTGGTTCAGGCTTCTCCAAAATACGCTGAGATGAGCTACTTTTGGAACGATTGCAAATTTCAGTACTTAGAGATGAGAAGCTTCCTTGTGCTGTTAATGGAAGAAACTCATCTGCCTTTCTCTCCCTCCCCACTTTTCCCTCCCTTTGATTATGTGAGACTCTTGGGCACGATATTTGAAAGATTATGTTTTCTAGAACAAGCACGACTTGAAATTAAGTATTGGCCAGGGGAAATTAAACAAGAATTAGCGGGATTGAGAAAGGGCCCCTTATTTATCTGTTAGTGCTGTTAGTGTGTGGAATGGTGTTGGTCAAATGTGCAGCGTCCATGGTGCACTTACAGCAACATAGATGCACGCAATATGCAAGGTTGTCACCACTTCCTAACTGCGCAACTTTGAACAAATTGCTGGGTCAAAGCTCTACCTACCTGATAAACAGGAAGATTTTCTTTGTTCTGAAGAGTGGACATTTGCAAATCTCCTAGCATAGTATCTGACACAAGGAAGTGAGTACTAAATGTTATCTATCACTGCCTTTTTTCTTTTCCTTTTTTCTTCTTTTTTGCGGAACCAGGGATTGAATTCAGGCCCCTGAGCTTGCCAGGCAAGCGCTTATTCCACTGAGCTATCACCCCGGCCCCAATGCTGCCTCTTGACTTGAGCTAAGTAAACTAGATAATATCTAAATTAATAGGGGGACATACTGAAGCTTTGGAGATAGAGGGCAAATAGACATCCCTTTGCTACAAAGTCCTACATTCTCTACCTTTGAGCTATCCTGCTTGGCTGGAGTAGTTAGCAGGACACTATTGAGCTGCACAGGGACAGTGATGGCAAAAAAATCCAGTGGCCAAACTGCAACCCAGGCCCAGTTACTTGTTGCAAAGTGCCAACTGTGCAGTTAAACCCGAATGCCAGGCTACTGGAGTGACCTGGCTGGTGTGCTGATAGAACTCTGAAGCCCACTGCCCCATAGCTTGGCCACCACTATACTAGGGGTGAACATTTTCACGAGTAACAGGTGAAGGAAAATAACTGTAGGAGGCAAAAGGCAAGGTGAGATCACATGCTTTTGAAAGCATACAAAGCCTGAGACTCAAGGGAATGTAATTTTTCTTATGTTACACGGTTAAACTATTTTTGAATAAAAATATAGCAATTAACTTTTATGTTTGAAGATTTTATAAATAATGATCACCGTTTATTAAGTACAATGTACTACAAGTACACAAATGTTTTAAATGCCATGTTGGGTTCAGTCCTCAAGACAAATGCATTTTTATTATTGTGAACATTCTGGATGAAGCTACTCAAGTTTGGAAGTATTAAGTATGTCAGCCAGGGTCACACAACCAAGAGTTCAAATTCAGGAACATCTGATGGTTACAACTGTGCTTCTGCATTAGCTCTCCATGGTGAAAGGTTGAGGTTCCTGGCTTTCTGCTGAAGTGTGTTCATAAAAATTGCTTGGTTTGACTTGGGGGTTTGTCACTGATGCCTTCCTCTTGCATAAAAGAACCCAAAATTTTACAAAATAAGTTCTGCAAATCCCATCATGAACTTTTTTTCAAAACAGTATGAAATATTCCAAAATTCATTTCAAGAGATCAATGCAGCAAGGTATTCCAAAAAGTTCATTTCAGTATTTTTCATGGTTAGCTCTTTTTTATGTCCTAGATACCCTAGGTTCACATTGTGAGACACATGCATAGTACCAAAAGGTATAAAATAATCAACAAGTTAAGATCAGAAGGAAATTTTGGCAATTAAGCCAAAAGTAAACTGGCTAGGCACAGTGGTGCATGCCTATAGTCCCTGCTCCTTGGGAAGCTGAGGCAAGAGAAGCACAATTTTAAGGTGAACCTGGGCAACCCTGTCTCTAAAAACTAAAGAGCACTGGATATGTCATTCAATGGCAGAGCACCCCAAGTTCAATCCCCAGTACCACAAACAAACTGCACTCATATGATGACCATGTATTGAATACCTCCTTGGTTCTTAGCATCTTGCTAATAATATTCACATCAGACCTTCACTCATCAACACGGGATGCAGGTGTTTCTGGTCCTTTTCTTACAGGTGAAGATACTGAAGTTCAGAGAGGACATGTGCTTTGTTCATTGCCATAGGTCTATCAAGTGACAGAAGCAAATTAAAGTATATATCTGCTTACAGATTGACTCCAAAGTCTGTTGCTTTACAATTGTTGCCTTTGGACATGCTAATGACATCTCTAATATTATTCTCCTTTGGAAATAATCCTGTAGGGTAACCCTAGAGTAAATAAGGTTGCTGCTCAAGAACTCAAAAATGGAGTATTTAAAAAAAGAAGAAGAATTTAATATCTAAATAAGTACAATTAAGGAATTGGACTTTTACCACCAGGAAAGTTTTGTTTCATTAGGAAAGAAAGACCTTATTATCCTAGTGTGCTTAGTATTGGTAAAGGCTTCTCATAGGAAAAACCACTTAAAACAGAAACCAAATTTTAAAGCAATTAGGAAAAAAGTTTTGCTTAGAACTTTATTTGAAACTAGAACTCGTTATTAAAAACATTTATTCTGCATTGTATTGAACAAAATTAATGTTTCAAGTATAAGTCTGCTAATTGTAGAATGAATAATTAATACATCAAGAAAATTACCAGTTGCTTAATTTTGCCTACAAAATGTGAAGTATCTGTCAGTGCTCAGAACATGATACCTGAAAGTATAATGCCTTGGCCTGTTGGGTATTTTGAGTTGAAGGAAACTGACCTTTTCCTGTTGAATATTTTGAACTGAAAAGGATTGAGAGCCACAGAAGCAAAATCTCTCCGATCTTCCCCTGCCTGACTCCTTTTTGTTCCCCTAAAGTGCGTATAGAAACTAAAATTGCTCTTCTCCAAAGTGAGTCACAGAAACCAAGAAGGTCACCCTATGAACTCCCAGCTTCTCCCCTGAAAACCCTATTATGACAAGTATCCTGCCCATACCCAAAGATCAAGAAAAACTAAACAAAAAGACCAGCTTATTACCATTAGGTCATAGCCCCTTATGCCAATCATACTTCTGCAAAACTATTCTTCGTTGGTGAAGGCTCTCGTATCACTGAAAACTTTGGTTAGATGAATTAGCTGTGATTTTCTTTGGTTAACATGTCGTTTGTTACAGCTTTCTCAACACTGAAGCCTGTGACTATGACGGGAAGGAAGATACTTGTTATCCCTTGCACACCTTGAACATTACTTCATAGTGAACTTTTCAGTATAATTAAAAGGGGGGTCATGTTGGAAAAATATTAGGATTCTTTTCTGAAGCAATGATATGGCCATCTTCCGTATTGATGTAGCCTTCACTGTAGTCTATATCTTTAGTACTCATTTCCTGATGGCTTCACAGGTCTCACTTTGATATTAACATGACAAAATTTTACCCCATTTCAAAATTTTGCAATTCCACTCTGGCCAGAATTGAATCTATGTATATTGTACTGTGCCTGTCTCATAGAGAAGAAAAGACTAACATTAGGAAAGATCCTTGAGCAGGCTTAGTAACCCAAGCCTTTAGTTCAAGCTGAGGTTAAGGCAGAAGGGTTTCAGCCCAGCATGGGCAACTTAGTGATGGACAAGGCTCTATCTCAAAATAAAAAACACAGAGGGCTGTGAATGTAGCTCATTGCATAGGCCCTGAGGCCAATTTGTGGTATTGGCAGGAAAGAAGGAAAAAGGGAAGGAAGGAAGAAAGGGAAGGAAGGAAGGAAGGAAGGAAGGAAGGAAGGAAGGAAGGAAGGAAGGAAGGAAGGAGGAGGAAGGAAGGGAAAGGAAAGAAAAAAAAGAAAGAA